GCTCCTCCAAGTCCAAACCCAGCTATGGGGGAAAGAGCCACAGTAAAACATGTCACCACCCGAAGCCCACATCCTGGGGCTGCTCTCCAAGGAGGGCAAACACAGATCCCAAACCAATGCACACCATGGAAAATTAAACCCATGGGGGTCTCTGCATCCCCTTCCCCTCCCCACAAAGCATGTCAGCAGCCTCTGGTGCCTGGGCAGCCCAAATAATGGAAAACAATTTAGCCCATCATCAAACGTCACTTTCCCATGAACTAGTTTCCTTAGAGACCTCAAACAAAACACTCGTCTCCCAGCAGCTCTTCACGCCAGGACGCCCTTCCACCAAACTCGCTGCTGGAGACAGGATGGCGAATGGCCAAGTCGGCACGCAAGGGACCACTGAGTCCTGCCTGGGTACGCGCACTGCCCCTCTGCTCACACCTGCCTGGTCCTTGAGGAAGGGCACGACCATGCTGGCAGCTGGTGACTGCAGCACTCGCCGTTACACTCCGTGCCTTCCCGTATCCTGCCCAGCCTGCTGCCGAGCTCCTTGGCCGGAGTCCATGGCTGGAAGCGGTTGTCTTCTCTGCTACATCTCTCGGGCCATTTGCTCTTCGGCCTGGGGGTTGCTGCCAGATGAAGGCTAAGCATGCCAGCAGCAAGGACTCTCCAGGACTCAAGAGATGCTGCCTCTCAGAGGGCAGCAGTATCTCACCTCGGTGCCAGAGGGGACTGTGGGGAGTCAGGCTGACACCATGGCTGCTCCCCAAACTGCTCTCCCAGCAATTCTGCAGACTGCAACCACACGCCGGGAAAGCCTCATGCACAGCATGACGGGGGTCACAAAAACCGAGGCAAATTCTCTCAAGTGACAGAGCCATGCTGGATACAAGACCTCCCCCATCCCAGCTGGCCACTGGCCATGATGAGCTCCACATGTTGGAGGCTACAGCGAGGGAAGCCTCCACTCACATGTCAGGTCAAATCAAATCAACATGTGGAAAATGCCTTGCAAAGGGACTTGAGGATCCTCCCTGAAAAAAAGCAGCCTGTCCTCTGAGGCAAGATACCTCAGAGAGGAAATGTGTCAGGGCCCTCCCTGGAAATCCCTTCCTTGGGATGGAAAGTGCTCACCAGGACACTTCATCAGCAATTGTAGCACCTCATTTTGAGAGAAAGTGGCAGAGCCCAGCTTCTGCTAGAAAGTGTAACATGGATCAATGTGGTTGGGTGGGTGCGAAGGGGAATAAAGCTTTTGGGTGCGGAAGCCCAAAAACTCATACTCAAAAAGGTAACTGTCCTGCTGCAAAGGTGGCTGCAAGCCTAAGTAACCATGGCCTCGCATCTGTGCTTGTGCCTTGGTGGTACTCAGCTGTGTTTTTTCCAGTTTGAACTCATCCGACGACATTTTAATTCAAGCAAAAGATTTCCCCCCTTTCTTCCCTCACAGTGATTCACTTTTATCTGGCAGTGCTGCTGTGGTGCCTTGTGTATCTACATGCATGAACTGTAATTTGGTGTTTTGGTGCTCCAGTTTCCCCCTATGGCCAAGCCTCCTCCATTAGAGTACATCTCCCGTGATGAGCCATCATCTCTCCTAGTAATGGAAAGCTGTTTGCAGCCTGGGACTCCCTAGTCTTTTGGGATACTGGGTGTTGCTTTCTGGATACTCTTCTGGACTTTCCCCGCCATTACAGGAAAATGGTGGTTTGAGAAAACCACATTCCAACTACCAAGGAGCCCCAGGGTCCCCCATGGTCTACTCTGGGGGATGAAAAACACTAACAGAGATCCAAGCCTCACTTTGTTTACTCAAAATAACACATCCTTAGGAGGAAGCCCTGAGAAATAAGGATACCCTGTCCCCTGCATGGAAAAGTTTGGCCAGTTCCTCAGGGGGACCCCAGTATCCCCAAGACTTCACCTGGTAAATAGCTTCGTCACAAGCGTTCTGCAGGCCCAGGTTCACCATGGTGTTCTGCAGAGTGCGGCCCATGTAGAACTCCAGGGACAGGTAGTAAATGCGCTGGGGAGGCAAAGCAAGACACTTACACACAGCACAGCACCTCGCTTTCACCGAAGCTGCTTAAAATTAAGAGTGGACCCACATACTTTCCAGAATAGGAACGCCTTCCCAAACCAGCTCTTGGCGCCTGCTCCTGAACACCACGCACCACAGTTTGTTTGTCAGAAGGATCTCGCGCGGGATGCTAGCCAACCCTCCGCCGCGCGTCTCCCTGCCAACAGCCTTCTATAGAAAAATCTCGTTGCCTGTTAAGTGTTTCCCTAATTAACTTTGGGCAAGAATTATCTAGGATGCTGAATGGTATATTTATACACCGTCAAGCTCAGCTGAGGTGATGCTTATGCTGGGCTTTTGAAGTTTTCCTGCGCTGAGCTGAAGCTGATCCAGAGCCTGCTGAAAGCCGGAGCAGCCCACCACCCCAGGCACGCTGGCCAGGCTCAGGGCCAGGCCTCTTCCTGCCAGCAATTTTCCAGCACTCCTATCGCCCTTCCTGCCAGCGATTTTCCAGCGCTCCAGTCGCACGGGTCCTCCTCTCCTCCCCATGCCGAGTTTCACGCACACGTTTCACCGTGTTGAACAAATAAACTGTCCCACGGGTGGCAGGGGTCCCGAAACAAGTGTGCAAGACACCCTGCTCTGGGGTGACCTTCCAAGCTTCAGAGGAGCTGTGCCTGTGCCGCGACTGCTAATGAAAGCCTGTCTGTAGGATGAGAAGCAGGCTCTGCAAACTTTTTGCCCTCGCTCAGATTTACTGCTACAGATATTTTTATAAATAACCAGGAATTTTTAACAGGGCAATAGCCTGACTTTAAATTGTGCTTCCCCCTGAATCTCCTTTCTTCTCAGCTGGGATATCTCCCCACTAAGCAGCAGGATTACCCGCTCTGCCACCTCTGCTGGGAGTCTGAAAGGGCCCATCTGTTCCCTTGGGGCTCATCGAAAAGACTGAAAACATCACACAGTTGCATAAATACTCTGCTCCTTTCAGTCTCCCGCAGGGATGCTTTTCTAGTGAAAATCTAAGCACAGGGGACAGCAAGCAAACCCACTCCAAGCTCCTCTTAGCCTTCATGGGATCGGTACAATCCCTTCTGTTAGTGCAGCAATACGGATCAGAGCGCATTTGTGTGAGTAAGGATAAAAGGGAGAGCTCCATGCACCAGCCTAACTCCCAGTGCATGTGCGGCTGTACCGGTGTGAAAGTGCAGTTTGTTTCTTGTGTCAAGGCAACATTCATGACCCCGAGAAAAGAGCTGACTCTGGGAGGCAACCGCCTGCACGCTGGGAAGGTATGTGCCTTTTCTAGTACACACCTGCCCTCTGGAGCTCTCCAGTTAAGTGCTGGACTGGGTCTTAATCGAAAGGATTAAGGCTGAATAACGTCCTGCAGCCTCCAACATCTCCAGCATCGCCATCCTGACAAGCAGGAAGGAGAGGAGGGAGCAGGCCAAATCCCCCGGCAACCACCAACTCCCCAGGGTTTGGTGACCTGGGAGAGCTTGTCTGGTTTGCAGGAGTCAAGAAAGTCCTCTCCAGCCTCAAAGCCAAGCTGCCTGCAGGCTCTGCAAGAGCAAAGCCAGGACATGGTTGTGCTGAGGCATGTGCTGAGACGTGGAGGTGACGATGCCCACAGGGGATACCACCGCAGGTGGTGTGAGTGCAGGACACGGCCACAGTAAAGTGTGCAGAGGAGCTGGCAGCTGCAAGGCCCATGTGAGGACATACTCACAGGGGGATTACAGGGAACATGGCTGTGACAAGGCACAGGTGATCACAGTTGCAAGGATGCCTGGGGGCGGACATGGCCACAGCAAGGCTCATTGGGGCAGGGCTGCAAAGAAGCTTGTGGGGCCTGCAATAGGGACGCGGCCATGGTGATGCCCACAGGGAAACAGCCAGGGCAAGATGTGTTGCAAGGGACATGGCTGGGCCAGGGCCCATGGGGACACAGCCACGGTGAGGTGCATGAAAGGTGCCGTGGCGATGCCCATGGGGACACAGCCGCAGCAGGGTTCACGCAAGAGATACAGCAGTGGCGATGCCCACGGGGAAGAAGCCATGGCGAGGCGCACGAGGGACATGGTCACGGGCAGGGGCCATGGCTGTGGTGATGCCCAAGGGGACACGGCCTCGGCGAGACGCACGCAAGAGCTGCGTCCGCAGTGACACCCATCTCGGACTATCCTTGGGGTCCCGCTCGTAGTAGTTCTGCTGGGTGCGGATCCAGCGCCCCACCAGGTGGTCGCGCACCGTGTGGGCCAGCGCGAAGTAGTAGTCGCGGGGGGTGGCGACGTTGCGGTCCTTGACCAGGGTGAAGTGGAGGTGCCGGTTGAAGCCCCGCTTCAGCTCGGCCACGCTCTCGGCTCCCACGATCCCCCGGATGCTGGTTTGCCCCCGCCGCGCCC